AGACATGGAGCAATCCCTATTAAGATCGGTATAATCAACACACATGCGCAATTTTCCATTAGATTTCTTTATAAATACAACATTGGATAGCCAGGTTGTGTACTAGGCTTCACAGATAAATTTTTCCTCTAGGAAGTCTTTTACAGCCTGCTCGGCAGCCTCCGTCTTCTCCGGAGACTACTTGCGCATACGTTGGGCAACTGCTTTAAGGGAAGGATCTATTGTCAGCTGATGACATGCTATATTTGGATCCAAATCGAGCATCTCTAATGTGCTCCAGGCAAACAAGTCTGCATTCTCCCTTAGGCACGCCTTCAGCTGTCTTCTCGCCAAGTCGGGGAGACCAGCACCGATTTTGACTCCTTTAGAGGGATTGCTGCCGAGGGGGATGATTTTGAACTCACCGTCCGGAATTGGTCTCAGAGGGTGTGTAGGCCCCTCGCTGTTTGTTGACGAGGAAGAGATTTCGATATTCAGTTGGGGATATTTTCCCTTCCTCTTCTGCTCTCGCAGGTCTTCTTTGGTAAAGTGGTTGTCAAGGTCGATCGTGTTGATGTGTGGCAGTGACTTTGGTTCCTCGAAACTGCTGGGCAGAGCAGGTCTGTTGGCTACTTTGGGATGTGTGTTGATGGAGCTTAGGACCTTAGAGGCTGCTTCAAAATATCTCCTCACAACATGTATGTCTCTGTGGAGGGTGGCAACAAGTCCCTCTATGGTGTAATATTTCATCTTCAGATGCACGGTGGAGGGAACTACTATTAGTTCGGCAAGGGTAGGCGGGTCTCGTTGAGCTCTAAAGTGGTGAACTGCTTGGAGTACATTATATTGACCGAGATTCCTTGGTCGACCAAAATGTGCTTGACGTCAAAATTCTCCATTTGTGCTTGTACGAGCAAAGGAATGCTAGATTTGGGAGCCTCGTCGGGCATCTCTTTGCAGTAGAATACGAGGGGGATGGATCCTCCCCTGAATTTGTCGAGGGTGGCATTCTTTTCGGATTTTACGTCTATTAGCTGCTCTAATCTTCTTTATGAACCCATGATACATTTGTTAAACCCACTGCCGGATATAACCATTGCAAATGGAAATGTTTCCCAGGGATTGTGTGTTGCAAGGTACAAGGGAGTCTCGTCCAGGTCGAGGATGTATAAATCTTCTGGCCCGGTGATGCTCATGGCGACGAGCATGAGAGTTTTGTCGGGGGAGGGATTCTTTTCCAAAGCCTTCTTAGATTCGGGAGCAACTTCCCAGGGACCTTCTTTCTTTTTATATTGCTTGAGATGCCCATTCTGGATGAGGATCTCTATGGCATCCTTCAGATGGATGTAGTCTTCTGTTGTGTGCCCGTGGCTCTTATGGAACTGACAGTATTTGGTTTTGTCTGTCTCTGGCTTGGATGGAGTCTGTCGAAGAAATCAGACCCCGGCTTGACGGAACTCAGAGTTGGCGCAGTCGGTCAGGATTCACTCGTGCGAGGCGTTCAAAGGTGTGTAGTCATGGAAACGACCAGGTGGTCCTTTGTAGTCTCGTGATTCACGGGGCTTGTCTTCCCTTCTTTTCTCTACTCCCCGACGGGATGTCGAGGGCTTGTCAGTTTTTGAAACTTTTACATTCTCTCGATGCCTCGAGTCTCGCACGTTGTTAGCAGCTTCTTTCTATTCGTACTAGATGTACGTTTGTGCCTTGAGTATGAGGGCATCCAGTGTTACAGGAGTGTCTATGCCAACTACTTTAGCAAATTCGTTGCGGGGGTGTAATCCTCATTGGAGGGGATACTTCTTTATTTCGTCAGTCGTAGAGACCTAGACGGCTTCCTTATTAAACATTTCAATATTGCTCGTAGGGATTCATCCTTCTCCTGGATGATGGCCTCCAGCAGCGCTTCTGATTTGGGATGTCGATGAGAGGCCGTAAAATGTCTGGAGAATTATTTCCCCAGGTTCTTTCAAGACGTGATCGACTCATTAGGGAGGCTTTTGTACCAAGCCATGGCCTCATTTCTGAGCGTGGTAGGGAAAATTCGGAACTTAATTGCTCCTCGGACACCTCTTTAGTTGAGCAAGGCATCAATATTCTCGATGTGCTTGTCTAGATCTGCAGTCTCGTCGTATATCCCCAGGTTTGGGGGTTTCTTCAGCCCGGTAGGGAGTGAGTTTTCCATGATCTCTCTAGATAACAGACCGCGAGGCTCGTCATCGTCACTTTGATCAGGAGATGGAGGCAGAGAGTATTGATTTCTTCCTCGTCGGGAGCTGGTGTCTCGACTGGGAGATATGCTCCTTGGTTGGTGCTTTGGCTTGGGTGATGGTGAACGGTCGTCATCTGGCCGTTGGTTACCCTTCATCTTCTTGGTGATCAGGGAGCGACGGTTTTTACAGGGAGGAGTGTGGCCTCGTTTCTTGAGAAACGAAACCTCTTGCTTCTCGTGCATGGGACGACGATCACGCCTTGATGGTGACGGATTGCAAGAGTCATGTCGTCGGTACCTCCGAGGAGGAGATCTTGACTGGAGTTTCTTTTCTCAAACTCCAATCTTGTTGCTTTAATGTAGGATCAGAGCATTGATCTGATTAAGGGCGGTGAGCAGAGCTGCTATGGCCGGATCGGTGTTGGCCGGTATTGGAACCAGTTGGAGAATCGCGGGAAGCTCCTCTGAGAAATTCTTGGACTTATGATTTTCCATGAATAGGAATTCGTCATCCTATGCTTCAATCGAGGATGGAGAGGCAGTATGGTCGTCTCTTTTCTAGGGGATATCCTCAAGGAGAGGCATTTTTTTCGCTTTCGTCAGTCTTGTGGACAGGAGAAAGCACTATTTTTCCAAAGAGATGGTTGTCATCTTGATCGTCCATAATAGGAACCTTTGAATGTCTCTTTGATCTTTAGTTTCGAGGAAAGAAAGATAGGGAGAACGAGTTTCTCAGATACAGGGCCACTGATCTTACCGGTTAATCAAAACCTGGAGTGGGGCGATAGATGACGTCTGCAAGGTTGGAATCAGTGAGGAGGAGGGGGTGTACCTGCAAGGCACTCTGACGCTCGAGTAAGAAATAGTGCAAAGAGATACAAGAAAGAGATTAGGGTTTCTGGAATAAGTATTGGATACCTGAGCCTCACAAGTGTGGGGGTTTATATAGTTCCATCGACGCTTAGTCATTGGTTTCTATTTTTGGGCCTAGATATTAGGTTCCTCAAAAATAGGTAACTTCCAGGAATTGGTCAAGTCGGACAGAAATGCTTGGAACTAGTCGTTATGACGAGCAGAGAGGTGCTCACGGGCAAGATGATTCTGGCCATTTCTGGGTGGTTGTCCTCGTGTAACCGGCAAGTCGAGGACCGACCTGTCTGAGCGGGCAGAAGCGACTGCGCAGACCCTGGTGGTTAGCCGACTAGGGCTCCTCGAGTTAGGGGCAAGGGGATAAAGTGTCATTTATCCTTCATGGTTTATTGGGCCAAAGTTATTGGGTCGTCCTACACGCAGAAGTAGATTGGGCCTTGCTTAGCCATTGGGATAGTTTAGAGCAATTACTATTTGTTCAGTTATAGCAAAAAAAATGTTAAAATGAAATAAAAATAAAATTTAAAAAACAAGCATACCTAATAGAGTGGCAAATATAAATGTAGGGTGGCAATAATTTTTACGGAAGTGCATATCTGGAGTTCAAGAGATGCATTTCCGAACAAATTTTTGGATCCAACTAAGGATGATTCACTTACGAAAGATTAAAATATGTGTAAAAATGTGCGTTCGAAAATGCATCTCCGAACGTTAGGGATAATTTTGATTTTTTACGGTGGTGGGCGAGTACACATAAGGGTGGAATGAGCATTTCCCATACTAATTATGTTCAACAAAACCAATTATGGGCTTATGGTTATGGATCCGGTCATTCAGGCATATCCATTTTTTTTGTAAATTTTTGTGTGACGGATCAAAATTTTAGGCACGCATTCTCTAATATGTTGTCTCGCCCCGCCTTGTTTTTTTTGTGGTTTTTGCAGCTTCGGGTAGCTAAGTTTTTACAACTTTTAACCTTTGGGGGTGAAAGGCCCACATGTTCGTCCCGTCCTACCCTCATTTTTTTTCGGGACAAAACAAAGTTTTAGGTCCACACTATCAATTATGTCTACAGATCTAAACAAAGTGAACATGCCCGTAGCTACTCCTGAATCTATACGACAATATTTTGAATTGAATTAGGCATGGTAAAAAAAAACTCATACCTGCTCGAACCCGCTCCAAAATTAACAAGAAAAACCCAATTTAAATGGGTGCGGGTACGAGGAAAACCCGATTCTTAACTATGGAGGCGGGGACGGGTGGATACTAAGACCCACCCACACCCACCCCCGCCCCGCCCTCGGCTACTGTAATTTACTTTAGTCCCCTCATTTTAATTATTTTAATATTCATTTATTTTCTCAAATGTAACTTCTGAAGCTAAAGTAATTAAAATAGAAGAAAAAAATCCGAGAAAATCTATCTCTCTATTTGTCAAATCAACCGCTGAGTTTGGAGGCAAATCTGGGTGATAAATTTTTACCCCCGACTGGTGGGGGCTGGTCTGCTACAAGTAGGCGGGTGCGGAGCTAGTTAAATCTACCCCCACACCGTTGCCATGTCTAAATTGAATCGAGTTTGAGGTTATATCTTAAATTTAACCAAGTTTGAGTATAGTTTTTTAAGCAAAATCAAGTTGGATCAAATTCTACTCATTTCAAGATCTCAACCTTACGTGAATGTCTCTTTACCGAACATTTTTGTATCATATCTTAGTCGTATGGAATCTTAATTTTTAAAATTATCTTATATCCGTATTGTACTATGTATATGAATCATTCCATGAAGCATCAATAAACACAAGCCATTGTGGCAATGTTGCAGTTGCAAAGCATGATATAAAAATGTTGTAGGATTTGAAATAAAAATATAAATATATTTGAGCATTCATGGTACTCAATGATACCCTCTGTGATTATGAATCTTGCTTATAAATTAATCATCCCAAAGCTGATCTTGTCATCTCATATGCCAAGAAACATGCTGCATTTGCAGGAACACTTCTGAACATTGCAGGACCAAAACCTTTGTAAAGGCCTTTAATTCCCTCAGTAGCTTTTATCCTTCTGAAAGCATCAATTGAACCAGAAAACTTTGGATTTTTGTAATCATCAACTTGCAACACACTCTTAACAACATCAGTTGGATAGACCATACACCAAAAAGCAGCGCCAGCCAAGCCTCCGGAAGCCATCAGAGAGCCTCTACCAAGTCCTGAGGTGTCGGTGCCTCCTGCAATTAATTGCTTTGTTGCTTCGTATACCCCAAACATTGCTGCATTTCCAGGTATTTCACGTGCCATAGTGGGAATCAAACCTTTGAAAAGACCCTTTATGCCGCCTTCTGATCTGAGAACATGTCTGGCCACATCCATTGGTCCGCCATATTTCACCGCCAATGTTGCTGTTCCTGAACCCGCGAGTGCGCTCTGTGCTTGTAACCTGTATTCAATATTCATTGTGAAACAACAAAATATTTAGTTAGAAGAACGAATACAGATTTTGAAAACCCGTCAATCCAAACATTGCCTAAAACACCATAAGCGGCATCTAACCTGCATTTGAGCAGTTCAGTAGGACAAGCTAGGAAGGAAACAGAAAGTCCAGCTGCAGCTCCACAAACAACCTGCTGGTTTATTGTGAGGGTATCACCAGGAGATGATCTCAACAATGTTTCCATTTGTCCTCTAACTGTAAATAGGACAGCATTGAAGGCGGCTACGGTAGCAAATGGTGCTCCCATGCCTTTGTATAAGCCCCCTGGACCTTCAGCTGCTATTGTCTTCTTGACAGCATCAATTGCACCGGAATATTTCGGAACCTGGCCAGGAAGTGGTGTAGGCTGACTTTGGAGCTTGACCTTTATGGTGTCAAATGGGTGACCAACTATTAGTTGTGCTGCCCCACCAATAGTTCCAGCAGTAAGGTCCTTAGCCACATCTCCCATCTGAAAAAAACAAATTTTGTTGAAGTTATGAGATAGAGAAATAATAAGTAACATCAACAATTATAAACTATCATACAAAGACTGTCATACAATTTCACAAGACTATCATACAATTTCAGACTAAAAATACACACAAAGACTGCCTCACAATTACATTGCTTTGTTTAAGATTTTCTTGAGGCAGCAACAGAAAACAGAAACAAGGATATAGATACACAACGTTTATGCAAGTATGAAGCACTATCACAAACAAATGAAATGATCCTTTACGCCAATGGTGTGTGCGATTTCTTCAAAGAGCCATTAGTACCATATAAATTATATAAAAAGAGGGGTTTGGTAAGAAAAAGCAAGTGCATGTTAGGATCAACATCACAACCCTACTAGAGGATATACAAATACAAACATGCACAAACAAGGAGGTACCAAAACATAAGTAATAAGAATTTCAAAGTTCATTATAGTAAATGCAGGTGAAAGAAAGCGACCCTCCGTCTTCCACTGTATTTGTGTGAAAAGAAATACAGTCACATGTGACTGTACTGTTTCACCCATGATGCACCACACAATTAAGTCACATGTGGTTCCGTTCAATCAAGTTCATTATCTTAAATTATCAGCAGTGTTGGGTCATGTGGTGTGTTCATACAAGTGAACCATAATTGGGTTCCTCTTGAAAAGCTAAAGTTCTCACACACTTGAAATCAACACATACCCATCTATAGGGAGAAATCAACAAGAACAAAAAGTGGGATTCATCCAAAGATTGAAAAAACAAACAAACTAGTGAGCATCTTACTAAATTAGATCCAAACAAACAAAAGCTATTTCTTTTGATCAAACAGTTGAAGCTAGAATAATATGATAAAGTACAATTAGGAATCTAATGATTGATGACAAGTCAAATAATAAATCCTAAAAAAGAAAGGAAAACATAGAATGTCACCGTGATTTATCGAATGGGATGAAAGAGCAATGTATTTAAGCAGAAGGATGAAACAAAGAATGGATGTTATATTGTTACCCGGTGATTCGGAAAGGTTGAAATAGAAGAAATTTTGGTGAATCTCAAGAAGGGTGATTTAGCAACTCAACACATACACACACACGATTTGTCAGATAGCGACCATATCAGCGAATGAGAGATAAGTATAGTGGACACTGGACACACACAGAGGGGAATCAAACGTCACAAATGTTATCAATTTTTAGTATTCGACCAACCTTGTTTTATGTCGAGTGTCGTGCCTATCTCTAAAACGTTGTTTTTAAGGGAAAAAAGGAGTGTTATGATACGGTCACGGCGCCAACTATGTTCACCTAACCTCCCTTTTCGGTGTCTTATTTGAGCCTTAAAATGGTTTTTCATGTTTTTTTATTACGGAAAGGATAATTATGGAAAAACGAAATTCCAATTAATCAGATACCTTATTTAATTTTTTGCTATAAATTATTATCAAATTTATTCTTCATTTAAGAAATGAAATGCCATAATTGAAGCTTGAGAGCAATTAGTTGCAGACATTTTTTATTAGGGGTGTTCGCGGTTCGGTTTGGATCACTTTTAAGATAAAAAATCATCCGATCCAAAGATAAATTTATTTACGGTTCAGTTCGATTTTAGATGATATATTAAAAAAAATTCAATCCGTTCCGATCCAATTTTATGCGGTTTAATTTGGGTCGGTTTTTGGATATCCAAATTATACATTATATTTTTATTAATATTATAAAACTACTGATAAATCATAGATTTGATATAATATATAACATATAGTATATTAAAAGTTAATATTACAAAATGAGAGTGGTTGATTATGATTGAAATAATAAAAATAAATAAATTATACCAAGCTAATAACTATTATTAAAAAAATTATTATCATCTAATAATAATTTCACATAGCATATCATGCTAATAAAAAGTAAATAAGTATAAAAATATATGTATGCAGTTTGGTTTGGTTTAGATCGGTTTTGAAAAATTAATCCGAAATCCGATCCGAACGGATCGATTTTCACAAAATAACATCCAAACACATCCAATAAATTTCGGTTTTTTGCGATTTTCGATTTTTTGGATCGGTTTTCAATTTTTTATTTGGATTAGTTTGGATTTGAACACCCCTATTTTTTACTCGTTTAAAATGAAATTTCTTAAATGTCATAATCAATGGGTTTAATAACTCATTTTCTTCTATCTCTTTTTTCTCTTAACTCTATTTCTCTCTTAATTTTATTCACTATTCATTATATAATGAATAGTTAGAATTAGAAGAAAATGGAGAAAGAAAAAGGAAAGGAGGCGATTTAAAATGAACATTTGATAGTACATTTTAATTACTATTTTTTGGGTAAATACTATAATATCTTAAAATTTGATTGGATGTGTATCTATTCATCCTCCATTCATTCAATCACATGTTAAAGGTATTAAAGAATTAAAGAGTTTGATTGTATGTGTATCTATTTATCTTTCTCTTTTTTAAAGAAATTTGACTGATTATTAATAAACAAATCTAATGGTACTAAGGAATTAAAATTTTAAAAAAATTACTCAAGTTGATTTTGATTCATCAATACAAAATAACTTAAAAGTACACAAAAATATTTAGTTAATTAATCTGTTAACAGCATTTTAATGGATAGATATTCATCCATCTAAAAAGTTAATTAAAATATATTTATTTATTTAGTTAGTTTTTTGAGTATTTTTGGAAAAAATCGATATTTTATATTTTCATAAAAATTTGATTTTTTGTATTTTCAATAAAAAGTTGATTTTCGTATTTCTGACATAAATTCAATTTATTGAATTTTCATAAAACTCAATTTACTGTATTTTCGTAAAAAAAAACTCGATTTACACTATTTCCGTACAAATTTCGATTTATTGTATTTTCATTAAAAAAAATTCGATTTACTGTATTTCTATAAAAAAAATCTCAATTTATTGTATTTTCATAAAAATTTGATTTATTGTATTTCCTCAAAAAAACTCATTTTACTGTATTTCTATAAATAAAAAAACTCCATTCAATGTATTTCAACAAAAAACTCGATTTACTATATTTTCATTAAAAAAATTCAATTTATTTTATTTTCGTAAAAAAAACTAAATTTACTGTATTTTCACATAAACTCGATTTACTGTATTTCAATAAAAAAATATTGATTTATTGTATTTACGTAAAAACATTCAATTTACTGTATTTTCACAACAACAAAAAAAACTCAATTTTCTATATTTCCTTACAAAACTTGATTTATTGTAGTTTCGCAAAAAAACTTGATTTACTATATTTTTACAAGAACTCAATTTACATAATTTCTATAAAAATCTCAATTTACTGTATTTTCATAAAAACTCATTTAAAAAAAAACTCAATTTTCTACATTTATATAAAAAAAAACTCGACTTACTGTATTTCTGTTAAAAACTTAATTTACTTTATGTGTAAAAAATATTAATTTACTATATTTCCATAAAAAACTCAATTTTCTGTATTTCTAACAAAAACTCGATTTATTATATTCCTGCAAAAAACTTAATTTATTGTATTTTATTAAAAATTCTCAATTTACTGTATTTCTGTAAAATAAAAACTCAATTTTCTATATTCTCATAAAAATATCGATTTACAGCTTTTCTGTAAAAAAACTCAATTTACTATATTTTCGTAAAAAAATCGATTTTCTGTATTTCCACAAAAAATTCAATTTACTGTATTTTTGTAAAAGATATAATTTTTATTTTTATTTTTTAAAATAATTTAATAGATTTAAAATATATCAAAATAATTCATTGGATCATTCAAATATGTTGGATGGATTGGATTAATATATATAAATAGATGAATTTTATCCAATCTATTTACTTTTTTTGTGGGGATGGATTGGATGGATTTTTTGGTGGATGGACTTAATTGCCACCCCTAGTTTCTTCATAAGATGTTTCAATACGAATAATTTTGCTCAGTAAAGCTCAATAAAAATGAACCATCCACTATTGCTGTCACGTGATTATTCAATAATCCTTCTGGTTTTTAAGTTCATTCTCTCTTTAGAAGTAGAACTGTGATGGTATATTTTCAGAATAGAAAGCATTTTGATTTTTCCTGAAAGCTTGGAGAATTGTATAGAAAACAAGAATCTTTGAGCAAGTACACATTCCTAGCAGAATACATCTGCTGCTAGTTTTTCTTTTTCTTTGAAGTCGGAACTTTAATTACAATAATTAAATGGAATAACAAATATACACTACTTGTTTCTTTTTCATGGTAAGACTTGAGATTTGAGTATTGTAATACTTACAAGACTTAAAAATACTTTTCTGAGGAGCGGAAACAACAATTAGATCATGATGAGTGGTTGCAAGACTTGAAAATATGTACTGAAATTGTTCCAGTATCCTCTTTACCAACAAGTATCAAAAGCACTGTCCACCATTTTCTGTAGGACTAACCATTAGAGTAAAGATGCTACCGATTTTCACCTCGAGGGTAAACCTGGATAATTTAATTTGCAAATTGTAAGCATGTCATTAGTAATTAAAGTGTAAGAAACTAGGTTTGACTGGAGCTGCTTGCTTCAAGCAATGGCTTCCTTTCCCCTGTTAGAGTTGAGGTTGATTGTTCCTCGTCATCTTCGTTCAACAGATCCTTACTTTTCAAAAAGGTTCCTGTAGAATTTATATGATTAAGTAACTATAATCCATTTATATCTTTAACTTTCAACAGTATAACTTTCTTCAAGTGATTAGTAGCCGGAGTTTTCTTGATATTACCGTCAAATTGTTGGTGTGCCTAACCAAAAATGATTTGTATTCAAGCAAACTTACATGAAAAAACCATCAATTTAGTCCCTAAGGTAAAACTTTTTCCATGTAGTCTCTAAAGTAAAACTTTCTCCAATTTAGTTTTAAAGTATACAAATAATAATTATCCTTAAATTATGTGAAATTCATCAATTTAGCCCTTAAAGTATATGAAAACCCGTCAATTCAGTCCCTAATATCTTAATAGCAGAAACTAAATTGACAGATTTTATATACTTTTAGGGATTTCTTATTATATTTATATATTCTGAGGATTAAATTGGAGAGAGTGACATTTTATGAACTAAATTGATGATTTATTCAAATGTATAGTCAGGGCTACTGACCACCTCACATGTGGAATTGGATCCTATACTGCAAGATCCTCCATTGCTCCCTCTACAACTCTGAATCTCTTTCTCTCTCTCTCTCTCTCTCTCTTCTTCTTTTCACCATTTTATTTCAAAATTTCTCACCTGACACTAATTTTCCCTGGCTGCAGCAGCAGCAGGGTAGTAGAGTTCAGTTTCCACGCACACTCAATAGGGTTCTTTATGAACATATACCTGCACGTCACCTTTGATCTCTACTGCCACATTAAGTTTGGAACACAGTTCAAACTTCAGGCTATTTACAGAATCAGATCACCAAGTATCCAGGATTGACATTTCTTTCCATCAATGACTTATAGCTCTCCGTCGTGAGATAAAGAATGGAATGAGTGACTAATAAATTACTA